ATATATGTATATGCTTGCATCACGAGGATATGTTTGTAGATTTCCTCTGACGACTAACTTTCTCACCACTATTATTATTATTTCAAATCACCTGACTAAAGTTTGCGTATGAGTTGTTTATTTGTTATATTAAGTGTTACTCCTAAGATGTACTTTTTATATAGAACCATCCAATTTCAATCAACATACTTGGTATTCTATGTGAAATTAGGTCACTGTACAGAAAAATACTCATTGCTTGCTTTAAATCAATAAAAACTTGTATATTGGATACACACTATACACAAACAGTGTGAAACAGTATTATTTACTGGATAACAAAGTTTAGACTACAATATCTAGCAATGGAATCTAGGAGAACGCGGATTTCGTCCTAATTTGGGACTCGTCCTCCAGCTGAGTGATGATGTTTCCACCACCGAGGCTCCAACCCAGTGCGTATAGTTTCAAACGCCAAAGCGTTATTCACTAGACTACTTGGACCATGAGAGCTGCCCCTTGTGCGACGAGTCACACTAATTATTTAATTCCGTTTTATTTTCCTCCCCAGTCGATTGATTGGACCAAAGTGCTCGGTCTCAGGTTGGAACTATAGGCACTGGGTTCGAGCCTCGGTGGGAACATCATCAATCACTGACTGTGGAATGCAGGTACATCCAGCTGGGGGACGAGTCTGAAAAAAGGACGAAATGCGCGTTATCCTGGATTCCACTGCTAGACACCATCCATCAATTAACTTCTAATTACATGCCCAGACATCGTCGAAGCATCTGCACAAGAAGCCGACATGTCAACCTGAGACCTAACACTTTGGTCCAATCTATTGACAGGTTAATCTAAAACTGTATTAAACAATTCACTTATGTTCAGATAAGACGTCCTCAATTCTAGCTACAGAAAAAATTTGAGACACAACATTCATAGCTCTGATTACTCCTTCGTGTTTGTCTCAAGGCTAGTAGGATCTTCTAAATATATGAGTGAACATGTGTTGAATCATTTCCATTACACGCATCGTCAGTTGATTTGATAAATAAAGCTTCCGTTATCCATCTCTTCCTACGCCCTGTTATATTAGAATCTAAGACCATCATCTTATCTCGTTCTATTGTGTCTCTGTGTCTGTGTGTAATTACATGAAGGAGGGCCATGGCTGATCTCCTTTTCAAGATTTCTTATCTTTTCATCACAGTCTGAAACTGATATCTTCATTTATTCCACCGGTAGTTGAAACGATGCTTCCTAGACAAGTGAAGCCAGAATTAACCCCTGTTATATGTCTTCCTCTAATGGTGGTTGGCGCTGATTGTTGTTCTTGTCGTTATACAGGACATAAACTTGCACTGCATGTCACGAAAAGGATTTCCAACAAAATGTAAACTTTTATCAACAGCTGCCCGCTTCCTTGGCTCTATAATGAAGATCGAATGGCCAAATAGAAAGAATTAGCAATGAGAAACTATGGTTGTGAACGAACCAACCAAGAGGCGATTGCTCAACAAATGTGTAGTAAAAAAATGCAGGTAGATTGGGCATTTATTGAGGAGGCTGACGAACAACATCATGTACCAGGTCCTGGAGTGAAATCCCGATGGGAAAAGACGAGTGTGTCATCGGTGCGAGGATGACTTCCATAAGAAGGCTCAAAGTTCTGGATAAATGAAAGCGTGTCTCTGTATGTGTATATAAAATTTCAGGTTTTCAGACTAATCGAGATAAATTTCTGACCTTGGAGTGACACATTTAACAACAGCAAACATCAAATCACTGTTAGGAAAGTTACTTGTGATGTGTTTGTGGTCTCTGAGCTAGCTGGATAGTTAGTTTGCGAAGCTTTCATAGCCCCACTTATTAGGCAACATCTTCAGCGCATACTTCAATTTATTGGAGTGAGCTTTTAGATTTCTCCATGAGTTTATTAGTCATCTCTCCTGGTGACCTTTGTGTTGTTTTTGTGTTTTCACACCTTCTAGGCTATTTGCATTGGAATCGATTGTTTCTTTGACTTGAACTGTGATCCTTTGTGTGTGTGTGAGGTTTCCTTCTTAACAGGTGGGTAAATTTCGTCTATCTCGATGTGTCTAGTGATTGACGATTCACTGGAATACCAAGCTTCTAAAAATCAAGTAGCATTCTTGGTGTTTCCTTTGTCTAATATTTGATTGTTGTCCCAGGAGGAATGACTAATATACTCGTGTAGAAATCTAAAAATTCACTTCAGAAAATTGAAGTATGCAGTGAAGATGTTGCCTATTAATTAGGGTAATGGAAGGTTCGCAAATTAACTATCCAGCTCAGAGAACACAACTACATCAAAATCATCCACCTGAGCAACAAATCTTCTTCATTGTATTTAAGAAGTTACTTCCTTCGCCTATCTAGAGAGCATCGTGTCAATAAAAGGAATAACAGACGTTGATGTCTATTATAACTAAGACTGAGAAGGCGAGACTGACATTCATTTGTCTAAAATCACTTTGGAAAACTGAAGCACTCAACGTATCGAAGAAGATTGCTATCTTCAACATCACTGTCAATCCGGTTATTGCCTCTATAAGGGTTCAGAAACTTGGCATTTCTAGCAGCCTACTGTTGACTTCCATATACACCTTCCTTCATTCAAAACTGAACATCATGCAGAAGGCCAGAAAGTACAAGTAATAAGCAACTCCAATAAGTAGCAAACTGACCAAAAACCAGTAACTCAACAGTATACGTTTAGGAGACCACTGACTGTCATTGTGCATGAGACAGAACCTTGAGTAGAAGCCGAATGAGGGGCAACGAGCTGGACATGTGCCTGACGGTGACACTGAGGAGAAAATTTAGGCTTGCGGTCAGTTGTGTAGCCGACTAAATATGACTACATGAAAAAGATAGAGAAACAGTTAGCGGAAACGTTGAGAAGTCAGAAACAGCAAGGCTTTATCTTACGAAGCCAGTATACATCACTGAAACCCACTAGAATGTTCACGCCAAGATTATATAGTTAGCCTAAAGTGCAAAAAAGGGGTGTATCGCTTCGACCAGTACTATATGTGTAAAATTCATTATACCATCCTGGAGCCAAATGGTTAGTCGAACTCTTACAAATTCTAAATACCAGGTTATTTTACTTTTGATTACAGCGTGATTCCACACTGTATTTGTGATACAAGTATGGAATTTTCAGCATGGATATCAGTAGCCCAAATTTTGCAGGCCGACCATTGATATTAGGTGTGCGTCGGCAGGCGATCGAACCTCGGACCATGTGCATAGTCGGCGAGAGTCCTAACCACTGTGCCACTGACGCACTCAGCGTAAAAGACACCTTTGGATTTGTTGAAAGGATAAAAGATTTAAATATGGACACCAAATTAATGATATCATTTGACGGATCTTCCTTAATCACTAATGTACCACTTATGGAAACAGTGGACTTTGTATGCGAAGAACTCAAAAGACGAAACATCTATGTCGGCATTCCTATATCTCTTATAAAAGAGCTTCGTTTGAAATGCACAATGAATCTTCACTTTTTATTTAATAAAGAATTATACAGAAAAATTGATGGTGTAGCAATGGAGTCACCAGTCGTACCCTTTCTAGATGGTATTTTCATTGAGAACCTAGGAAATGGGCCTTTAAAAGACGTTACTGATGAGCTTGACTTCTACTGTCGGTACATGGATGATAAATTTTGGATTATGAAAAGTGAGAAGGAAGCAAAGAACATCCTGGATAATTTCAATGACGTTCAGCCCGCAATAAGGTTTACCATTGAGAGAGACAGAGACTCCGGTATTTTATTTCTAGATGTCCTTGTGACCAGAAAAGAGGAAGGTACAATAAGAAGAAGTGTATATAGAAAACCTACACCAACTGACTCTCAGTATACTCATTATTTTTTCAGCTTCGTGGCCTTGATATACAGATGCAATCTGATATAATGATTGGTTCACAGAGCAAGAGCCATCTGCTCTGATGAATGCCTTGATCAGCAACTTAATAATATCAAACATTTACTGATTGAAAACAGTTATCCAGAAGAATTTATTGATAAAAATATGATTCTAAAATGAAAGCAGCCAAAGCTACAAATAGTTCCTATACAGGCCTTATTCTTACGAATTCAGCTCCTCGGGGATAATATCAGAGAGATACTAACACAACGTATTAAGAATACGGTGGTAAAAACAGCATTCCTTGATGCTAAACTACGCCGTGTATCCAAAAACACCCAAGGCTGTTTTGCGTTCAGGAGGAAAAGACAAACTGCCAAATTTCGCCACTTCCATGTGTATCTACTTATTTTACTGCTCCTGTGGAGTGAGCCAGTCAGCTACATAGGCTGTACAATTTGGCGTGTTTCTCATCAGATTTCTGAACATCACCCTGCTTGGTCGGTTAATCGAAGGAGAAACAAAATCTATTCATGGTACTATTCTATTTCATCTTGTGGATACAGAACGCAAGATTGATGTAAACGAGGCGACTTTCAAACTCATTTACGGCGCATACCAACAAATCTTAACTTCGCCTTAACATTTCGATTACTAAATATTGCTGAGGCTAGCCGTTGGGATCCACATTAAAAAGCCTAATTTATGTTTCCAAAAGAAGTTGGTTGATTCAGACATTGTCCTTATCTTCGCTATCTAGGTTAGATTCATCTTCAACATTTTGTAGAAATTTCTTTAATTTTAGTTGATATTCTATTTGCTATTATATTTTTATTATCATTATAATTTAAGCGTCTTTAATGAACTGTAATTCCACTATCTGAATGAATATTTTCGCTGTGTCCAAATGGAGATGTCATATTAAGGCCCTATACTCCTCTCGACACCAATGGTAATTATAAGCAATAATAATTATAATGATACAATGAACTTTTGGTTAAATTTAATCCACTATTTTTTGCATTTAAACATTATTATTAATAATAATAATAATGATAGTATTGAAAACATGAGAATTATACAAGAAATTTAAAAATAATGTAGCATTATACTTACATGATTGTTTATTTTTGTTCAATGTCCAATATACCCGTCAATTGTTCAATCTTGTTCAATGTTCAATGTTGTACAGAATTACAAATTATAAATTGTTAGAGGTGAATAGTGTTTCTACAATTTCATTTAAGATTTTTTTAAATTTATTTTGAAAATGAATATATAAAAAAGATTCTGTGTGAAGAGAAATTTATTTCTCTGTTAATTGTTTATATATATATCACTTTATTTGTTGGTTGGTTGGTTTGTTTGTTTGAAAGTGAGAGTGAAGAATTTGAATTTGAGTGTGAAATTCAATCAACTCTGAGCAAAGAAGGCAGGAGAGAGAGAGGCAAAGGGAGAGGGAGAGTGAGAGGAGCATAAATCAATCAGTTGGTGTGATCATGAGCAGATAGAGCAGGTAATGCTCTCATTTGTTTGCATTCCTTTCAATCTATGCACACACACACGCACTTACACACACACGCACTTACACACACACTTACACACAGGCACAAGTACACACCACTTGAACGATAGAGACATATGCGCATATCATGTATAGAGTGTAAGCAATAAAGCCTAGCCTACCTACCCTACGTCTCCTCCTGCTCTACTCGTATACAGCTAAATAACACACACAGTGAACAAGTAGAGTTTATGCTTAACGGAGAGTACACATCAACGCATACCCAAGCACACTCACACAGGCACGCATAGACATACAGAAGACATAGAATTTTGAGTATTTACTAAATACTTGGCAATATAGATTGAGTAACGAGTGTGCGTATAGTTGCAGTGTGTGTTAGTTAACCTAGAAACCATTTGATATAATTTGCTATTCTTTGAGTTTTAGTGTTTACACGTTCTGTATTCACGTGTGCATAGGATTAAGTGGGCGATTGAGAGATACACAAGCATACTCATACACGCACGCACTCACGCACATATACACACCGGTTTACCTGTCTGCACACCACATGTTATAAAAATATACGTCACAGCCTACTGTATCACATCATTGCAGACATCATCATGAAGCGATATGAGTTAGAGAACCATTGGGAAAGGAAAAAACATTGGACAGCTGTTTTGTCCCAGCATGAAGCTCTTCAGAAGTAAGCACCAGTGACGTTTAAGGTACGTATACTGATCGAATGAGCTCCACAAAGATGTTTCAGCCTGTATATATAGTAGACACATTTCTTGAATATTTGACTAACCTTTGTTTAGTGAGCATTGAGTCAAGGCAAGCCTTAACATTAGAGAGAAAAGAACAAGAAGTTCAGCAAAGATGTTGATATTTTCGGCGATTTCATTCTCAGAAGCATCTGTACAATCCCATCTATTATATACATAAGATACAATTAATAATTACTTAATTCCATGGAATAACGAAGAAGGAGATTAGAGGTGATAATTATTTTCAGTTGGATATGAAAGTTTGAGGGCTAAGAAACAAAATTACACAGGTTTTCCCGTCGATTGATTGAACTGAAGTGCTCATTCGGTCTCAGGTTGACATGTCAGCTTCTTGTGCAGATGCTTCGGCGATGTTTCGGCGAGTAATTAGAAATTAGTTGATGGATGGTGACTAGCAGTGGAACCCAGGATAACGCGAATCTGAAATAATAGTTGAATAGTTAATATGACCCGTTGAAAAAGAGGTGACTCTCATGGCCCAAATGGTCTAATGGATGACGCTTTGGAGTTTGAAACTATGGGCACTGGGTTCAAGCCTCGGTGGGAACACCACCACATGTTGCAGGATGAGTCCCACACACAGTGAAACATCTAAAAAACGAACTAATATGGAGTTACAAATAATCCTGTTCTCTGAGCTGGTTGGTTGGAGTTACTCACTTCCACAGTGCCCAAGTCTTACACATATATTAATAAGGTTAAGAGAGTCCTGTAAATTCCAAAGCATAAAACCTAAGAACAAATATGGCAGATAAACAGTTGCAGACAGTGACAGGCAGAAGCAAGGACACAAAACGTTTGTTACAGGATTTCATCATGAGCTGACATTAGTTAGATAACCATTGGAAAACCTGGGAGTACTGGACAGCTGTTTCGTCCTAGTTTGGGACTCCTTAGCAGTAAGCACCCACCGTGGTTCGAACCCAGGACCTCCTGGATGCAAGGTTAGCTCGTAGACCATTGAGGCAACGGGACCCGATCCAATGGCCCATAAATTCTAACTTTCGCCAATTCTAGATATAGCACGACCCCTAGCTCACGATGAAATTTTGAAACCAATCAAATCCCTACAAACTGACACCTGATTTTCAATCAGATGTTCACTAGGGACTTGCCCTATTCAGGCAGGTAGTTACCTTGGGTTCTAGTGAGAAATCGTGACCAGTAGGGTGCAGCTAGTCAGGTGTGAGGACAAATACTCGCCGAAGACATTAGATAGGGGGTCACGCTGTGTCATGAATTGGCAGAAGTTAGAATTCATGGACTGGCCATTGGATCTGGTCGGGTCCCAGTGGCTTAACGGTATACGAGTTCGCCTTGTAAGCAGGAGATCCTGAATTCGTACCCCCTGTAGGATGGGTGCATACTGATGAAGAGTCTCAAGCTGGAACGAAACCACTCACTGTCCAGTACTCCAAGGTTCTCCAATGGTTCTCTAACTGAGGTCATTTCATGATGAAATTCTCTAACCAATCAAATCCCTACAAACCAAAACTTGAAAAACGTTTATATTTTGTTGATCATTTAAGTGAAGGTGTTGAGTAAAACAAAATAACACACGCAAAATGTGTTATTTTTTACATTTTTATGTTTATGGATTCTAAGAAGTTATATCCAGTGGGGGAATTGAATCCTAAGTGGGAATACATAAAATAGTAATAGTAGAATGAAATGTAATCAAAATGTTTGTGATTATAATTATGTTACACTGTAAGGTGGCAAAATAATTAATGTCGTATATAGAACAATTCATAGGATTTACAGAATTTAGAAGGGTTGTGAAGTTGTAGGATCGATAGGTAAATAGAATAAAAATGAAAACGTTACGTAACAGTTCGTGAAATTCTATAACGTAGAATTCAGCTTTGCAAAACAAGAATGATTTAGAATGACAAGTGGAACAAGTGAAATAATACCGGAGACAGTTGAAACTAACAATTGACGTAATATGGAAGAGTATACAAATTGAATAGACAAAATGAAAAATTCATAGATTCAGAATATGATAAGGGTTTAACATACTTTAAAATAGAGAGATCATAACACCATGAAAGTTGAAGGGGTTGAACGAACGTTTTCTGTATACAGAGATCTCGTTTTTTCTGTTTTGGAACCCAAAGATGGGTTCAGCTATACTGATGAGTCGGGTACGTGGCTATTCGGAACAATTACTTTTCACCCTGTAGATGACTTTAAAGACGGAGGCTGTAGATGGAGATGGGGTGATCATTATCGACCAAATGATCAATGATCGGGCTGCTTATTGCTCCACTTCCACCTCCTCGTAACCAGGCAGGATAGTGTTCTTGCAACCTATTGGACATCTATGATTCAATCTCGTCACCGGAAATAATCTCTTAAAGGCCATATTTATATATACGGTTGTACCTCCTAATAATATATTCGTTGAAAAGAGACTTCGCTGAATCACTCGGTTTGATTTGCTAAGAAACTGTTATTTAGATTTATAGATTTGTAAGGATTTTGTTCAACAACATTGTGAACCAACATCATTTAGAGACACATTAAACACCAAAGCATACTGGACAGTTTTTCCTTCCAGGCAGCGCTCATCCACGACATCACAGGGGAAGAAAGCCTATGTGCACTTGTCCAGCTAGCTATCAGTGACAGCAGAGATTCGAAGACCGTGGATATATGCAACTCATGATCTCTGTTTTATTATTCGGAACACAAGAAATAAATAGAATGAGAAATAAATTACAGTTTAGTCATGAAAAGCATCTGTTTATCAAATCTGTCTGTCTGTCTTTGGAGAATGTTGCTGAATACAGAGTAGTTTTTGTTTATTCGAACCTGTCTCCATTTGGTGGGAGACAAAAAGGCTATCGTTGCTTAATCGTATTCTAGTCGACAGAAGACTGGAGAAATACGATCAGAAGTATTTCTGGACATTATATTTACGTTGATTTACAAACTTCACACGTAATATTTGTGACATTCTATTTCTTTGTCGATGGAAGATTAAACAATCGTTGTTCTTTTGTTCAGCATCAGTTACCATGATTAGTATTCTGTTTATGAGGCAGTATATCTAGGATTCTTGTGATCTGGATATTGTTATTTATTTCGTTTAGTTCTTTGAGGAATATAGGGCTTCAGCTGCACGTGTTCATTGCGTTCGGTCCTTTGCCAACATTTTCACCTGGTTCCAGGTCTGCCCACATGTTTTTATCTCATCTTCACATGACCTCTTCCATGTCACCCTCGCACTGATGACCAACTTGCCGCTTCACATTCGGGATCAACTCGAGGGCTTGTCTAGTGATGTCACTTGATTGTTTCCTCAGAGTATGACCAGCCAATCCATCTCCATTTCTTCCAGCACATTTGTTGCACAAATGGTTCCTGTTGAGAACACAAGAATGATGTCCACGATTCAGCTTTCAAAGTCATTTACCGCGCATACAAACAAATCTTAATCGCCTCAACAGCTCGTTTACTAAATATTCCTGAGGCTGGCTGTCAGGATCCTCATTAAAAAGCCTAATTTATGTGTCTAAAAGAAGTTGGCTGGTTCAGACATTGTCCTTACCTCGATCATCTAGTTTTGAATGATCCTCAGTTTCTTTTGTAGAAGTTTTCTTAATTTTAGTTGATATTCTATTTGCTATTATATCTTCATTATTATTATAACTTAAGCATCTTTAATGGACTATAATTCCACTGTGATCTTACTTAACAAATCGATATTATTTAAAAAACACACTGATATTGTTATTGACTACTATTCTAGAATATTCTATGCATATAAATATATACGTATATAGTTGTAGAGTCGGAAGAGGAGGAAATTATCGGAAAGGATATTCTTTGCTCAATTATTTGTTTCTTCTAAATTAGGGCTCTTCAGCACTCCCAGATTCTCAGCTGTTCTCCACCTGATTTAACTTGGAGTTCTGGTGAGAAACTGTATACTACTAACTGATTTTGATGAGTAGTAGATGTAAGTATAACTTTTTACATCAACCAGTATTGCCGGCTAGTCAGATAAAAGTGACTTTAATACCAAACAGTCATTTCGCTTAGCTATTGCCTGGCTCAACAGAGATGTACGCAGTTAGACTCATATTATAGCGTCGAATGATTTCAGGCCCTTGGCCAGCTACCGGCCAACCACTTGAGCGAACTGGTAATACCACAAGTTGAATTCATAATTCACAAGTGAATTTGGCATTTACACAGTTCCAGATCAGAATTTCAGCACAGTTTCTCTTGGAAACAGAAAAATAATCAGAATACAAAAATGTATGATTTCATGAGACTCCGTACTACTGATTGGCT